GGCAGGGAACCCCCAAACCCAAGTTTTCTAGCCTTTTCAAATAGCATGCCTGGAAGAAAAGATAATGTATAGACATTGGTAATTCATTTTTAAATTTGGGAGGGCAGGAGGGAGGAGAACTTTATATTTTGACAGAGAAATGCAGATATGGAATAGTCACAAAAGCTGGAGTATGCTGAAAACTGTTGAGAACATGACAGATGAAACAAGAAACAAAATGACCCTACTGAACAAAAGAGACAGTCAAAAAAGACTGGTTATGGACCAGACTGCACTTCTTGGTTGCTTTCTCTGCAACTATCACAAGAAGAGCATATGAAGCACCCCACAGATACATGGAGTAATCTAACAGGTTCAGATATGCACAGTGAAATACCAACGACAGGGCAGAGTTTCTGCAAGTCAAGCCTTGGAGCCCTGAGACTCATGTCACTAAACATGGGGGAAGGAAACCACTCTACAAACCAGTGCTGCCATGCAGCACAAGGAACTACTCTACATGAACTTCTGGTTGCCAAGTGTTATTTGCCTGAAGACAACAGAAAAGAAACAGCGTCCAAAACACAGAACATACGTTTGGATATGAATTAAGTGATAAAGTGTATTCCATTAGGCTTTTTTAAATTTTATTTTTGTATTTTGTTTTAATGCCCAAAATACATAAAGCTTTGATTATTGTAATATGCAGGGGTTTTATATTCTTTGAAAATGTATTTTTATATGGGTTCCCGTTCCCCCGCCCCATATGATTTATATATGAGAAGAGAGGCAATACTAGATTCCAGCTAACGGCTTTGTGTAAACAAGTCCTGAAGAACTCTGGAATTCTGTCTGCTTATTGTTAAGATTCAATGCACAGGCAAGGAAAAGCACGTACAACTAATGGGGCCATCTCTCAGGGTCATCCAGCAGCTGTTCCTGTTGAATATTCAAACACACCCATCCACACCCAACTCCACCCGTGCATAAAAGGACTGAAAGGATCACCGGACAAGAAACAAGAAAGCAAGACTGATGACATCTAAAAACGAAGACTGCTTTTGGTAACAAAAGGATTTTTTCCTAAGCCTCCCCACCCTCCCTCTTCTGTTACCCTTCCTATATTCCTTTTTCTGACTGTTTTTCTTAATGACATAATATCCTTTAATCACTTAATTCTCATAATTATGATCTAAGAACATTTGAATGACATACCCCTGGATTAAACCATATGCAGTAAAATAAAAACAGACATCCTGTTAAATTACCTATTTCCCTTCTTATTTTGACTCCTGTATATCTTGGGCATTAGGAAAAAATTAATTTCTCCAATACTTCTCCAAAAGAAAAGAGGTAACATTTCCAAAAGCCCCCAGAAGCGTTTGAGATCTAATTTTTTAAGGTATTCAAATACTGCAAAATTCAGCCAGTGAGATCACGTATGCACCTAAGGGGAATTATTCATTCAGCTGAAATTAAAGTGACTTAGGAACCTCCTATCTGTCTACCAATCATTTGCCCACTCTTTAAATGCAGTGTTGCTATCCTCTGTGAGTGTTGTCATGTGATTTGACATGATGCTTGACCAACAACAATGCCTTTATTTCAGGTGGGGTTGGTTGGTTGGTTTGTTCTGTTTTTGTTTGGACTGGAGGAAGCATCTTTCAATTTATAGCTCCCATTTCTCCGAATTCACTGGTTCTTTTTAAGTTTTCTCTTCCCTTTTTTTTCTTTCTTTATGAAAACCATACAACTATTTTAACAGATTTATAACAAACACATGTATGGTCTAGAGTATGTAACAGAACGAGAAAGCAGAGACACTTTTATGTGTCATAGATGAATTTTCAGAGAGAAAGATCGGAGTTCCAAGTTTATAGCCTGTTTTATGCTATTAAACCAAGAACTCCAATCCACTTGGGGAACCAAACTGGACAAGTATTTCCAATGAGATAATTTTCTGAAGAAAAAACAGAATTTCAAATGAAAAAAATAAAATGCACAAAAACATTTTAATTTAAACAAAAATTAATTCAAACCCCAAATAGTTGATATTTGGAAAGCCGAAGAGATTTGAAAAAAAATAAACCCTCACCAAAAAACCTGTCACTTTTCCTATGGAGAAAAGTCCCACCTTTCTAGTCAAACCTAAAGATACTCAAATGGTCAGCAAATGTCATCTGGAAACTATCAATCAACTAATAGAATACATTTTTTGGAAACATGACAAATTCAAAGGCACCCACACACAATAGCAAAGAAAAAAGTCCACCTGTTAAAGCTATGAATAATTATTCAAGCTTCAGCCGATATATAATACATCCTGGTATTAATCTAGATCCTTAAATACACTTCTGGTTCTAAAAATACTTTAGAGGAACTGTACATCCCAAGAGAACAACTTGTAGAGGACTTTCTTTAGCTTCCTTTAAATTTTGTAATTTCCTTTTATATCGCAGCATAACCACAGTCTAGAAAATGTGGTTTGTGGGTCTGGATTAATTCCATGTGGTCCTCTGAGGAGAGATGATCCTTCTACCAGAGGGAGAAAAATAATCCCTGGAGGGTTAGACAAACATGACATAGTTACAATGGTAGCAAAGCAGACCACCTGCTTTTCCAGTAAGCGCCACAAGCCAAGATGAAATTGGCTTGGTTTTCGTATTATAGTACAGAAAAATCATCTTTGCTGTCCTTGAACTTTTAAAATCATATCGTATTCCAAATCTGTCTGTTTTCTCCTGAGAAGTCTGTGTCAAAGCATTTTTACTGTCATATTAGATATTTAGTCTGTCAAACTTTTTGTGACATTTACACCAACAGTATAGCCCTTTTTAATGCAAAGTCAAGCTTCTTATAAGGACTCAGAGCCATTTCACATGTTGATTTTTGTAGAGGGAAAGTGAATTTGGAAATGGTAAGCATTGTTTTTACAGCTCATATGCAAATAAATTGATTAAAAAACCCACAAATGTTTTGGTTTGTCCTCATGAAAAGAAGTCAGAAAAAGCTGAAAAACCACCTTAAATATTGGATTTCATAAAGAGAGGCTACAAAGTTGAAACACTCTGGTTTGTTGGGGATTTGTGGAAATGTTGTCCCAGAACTTGGGGAAATAATACATATCTAAATTGGAAATGCTATATTCAGCCAGATGTGACTAAAAAGGATAATTTTTTATCAGATATCTACTACCCTTACCTAATCAAAGTCCAGAGCATGAGAAAAGCAAAATCCAAGCTAACCCCACAGTTGCTGGTGTATGTGCTATTCATATTTAAATGTTAGGAAAAAACAAAAGATGGAGTGAAACAGTAGGGTATAGTGGTAAGAAATTGGTAAGACCATAGAGCAGATCTATATTATCCAATGAAAACCAATGCAGAAATTATTAAAATAATGCCAGTTAACAAGGAAAGCCTACACTGTGCAGTGCAGCATTTGGCAGAGATAACAGCTCATCTTTCTCAGCTCTGCTCTTGTGGCAACACTCCTGGTTTCATCTTTCCACTAAGCCTCATCAACTTTTTGAAGGGAAAAAAAAAAAAAAAAAAAGTCATAGGAAAGAAAATAAGTTCACAAAATGTGAAGAACACTGATTTTAAAAGACCTGCGCATTATATCACAAGTCATTGTGACAGTGGTGATACACTGCTCAAACTTTCTTTCAAGAGGGTAACGTTATAACTGTTAGTCAGTGGATATGACATAACTGTCATAGACATAATACAGTGAATAAAAAAACAGGATTGTTTTAATTATTCCCATTCCTACTGTATCTCTTAGCCTTACTTTCTTTACGGTTTATCATATTTTGTGGCTACCTACTTTGGAATGTTACTGTACCTATCATATGTCATCAGTATTTTGGTTTCCATTTGCTCTTTGGTTTGGTTGATGCTTGGCATATCCACACCGTAACTTATTATTAAAAAAACAAGCCACAAACCCAAAACAAACAAATTTTTCCCATTTTCCAGTTTCCTATTTTCAATATATTCTACAGTTGTCAGTTTGCAGATTTGGGATTTTAGGTTTCTGAGAAAAGAAACGTAAAATTTTTTTTACAATATAAATGTTCAATGCCAAACCAATATACTGACTTCACCTTCTTGCTCCATCTAATCTCATTGGGATGGCTGGTGTTTCAAAGCATTGAAACTAGGATTGTTGCAACCACTGATATTTGGTAAAGGATTTTAAATATACTTACTTAAAATAAAAGAATATGCCAAGAGAAATCAGAAGTGATGCAATTGAAAGACCATGTCCGATGATGGCCAAGTAATACAAATTCAGAGCAGTCTGCAAAACAAGAACAAACCCAAGCACCTGTGATGCACACAGAACTATTGTTGATGAAGCACATATTGACACATCTCTTCTGCATATAAAATGAATATAATAGGATTAAGAAAATAAAAACTTTACAGATGATGAGTCAAGTCTAGAATCCTGCAAATCAACATCTTACTAAAGTCTCTTTTTGTAGGACACACAACAGATTCATTGAAATCATCACTAGAACTTACCTCTTATCAGTTAAAACATTAGTTTTCTACTATATACTATGTTTTTTCTGAGCATTTACATAAATTTGGCTATTTATGCTACTGCACTGGGTGCATTCCTGTCTGAGGCTTGATTCATGTATTAATACAACTCTTAAGTAAAACATGTGCTTCCTACATGAATTTATGTATTTTTTCCTCATAGAAGGTTTTTTCTTATCATTTAAAGATAATTCCTTCAAAGCAAGCTGTGGTTTTGATATAGGAAATTTAGTTTTCATTCGGCATTTAAAGAAGGGCATGAAAAAAATTAACAATGACTCAAAGATAGTGAAGACTAAACAGTCTTGTTAAATAAGCCCACATCAAATTATAAAATTATGAAAAGCTGGGTAGATGCAAAACATAAAAATGAGGAACTAGTAAATTAATATTTGGAATATATACATGTTATCATTAATTCTTTGAATTAATAAATACATTAAATTCCACTAGTAACAAACCCCTGCTTTCAGTCATGACATCTGCCTCATAAAATTTCTCTTGTTGCATTAAATGCAAGATTATCATTTTGCACATAAGGAAATGAAGATTTTCAGGTTGAACATTGTACTATCACAATAAAGCCTAACTATCTGGATTCTATAGGAAGAATTAGAGCATACACATACAAATGCTCATGTACTCCAAACTGTATGTATCCTCTGCACTTATTATTCCAATTTAAGACAGACTAACTGTACCTTGCTACATATATTGGCTTTTGAAATAATATAAAAAAGATTCGAGGTAAAGCTTTAAGAATGTTGTAGGATGTACCTCTTAGTACATGCTAGAATTTTCCAAATTATCATCATTTTTAAAAATGAGATTGCTTTATTTACAAAAAAAATTTAAAAAAAAAAAAAAAAAAAAAAGCAATACGTTTAAGTGAAACTTTTATAACAATTTGGAAACAAGAAAAAACAAGGGTTACCCCTTAAATGCTAAAGCTTGGCTATGTATACATAATGACACCCTTTTATGACAGGTCCATACCCCATACCACCACCTCATTCAGTGACCAATTTAGGCAAAAGGTGCATGTTAAGGATTTAGAAGATTTCCACACAGTTTAGAACTGGCATGCAACAGTGGTACAGCAGGGACTGCTGATGAGGGCAGTAACGGTAAGAATTGAATAATGGACAGTCACATTTATTGTGCCTTATCTAACCCACCTTCTGAGCAAAGTGAAAAGATAATGTTTAATAAAACAACACACAGAACTGTAGCAAGCAGTAGGGCTTTCTTCAGAACTATTATCCCATTTAAACAATAGCTTCTTAAGCATGACAGAGTTGAAATATGCTGGCAAAACAGCCTGAGGGAAACTAGCACATTATTCATAAAGAAGGACCTGCATGGATCTGCTCCTGTCTGAGTAATATTCTCCCATTTTCCAGCCAAGCATTAGCAAGAATCAATGAATTGTAGCACCTCTGCTAGTAGCATTAAACTGCCATTAGCGTATTCAGTGTCTCATGATTTGAGAAAAAGCAATACAAAGTGCCTTCTTATCATCCATTACCACCTTTTCTCAATATGGTTTCTAGGTAAATACCCTAAAGCACTCTTGACAGCAGTGATGCAGTCAGTTAGGATCTCTGCTAGATCTCAGTATTCTTCACACAATCTGCTATTATTGAGCTCTTTTCCATGAGGTCCAAATTAATTTACAGTCTATCCTGACCTACATTTTATATTCCTAGTTCTTGGACACTCACAGTTTCAATTTACTGTTTCTTCCCATGACTGAAAGTTTCATAAAGAATATTGGCGGACACACAGTTGGGGGGCGGGGGAGCACCATTATATCCTCACATATGACAGAGTATCTCAGAAAGAGGGCATTTGGAGGTTTACCAGATTTTTGCTTTTATTTTTATTTTTCTAAATCTGTCAATGGATAGGCATCTTCAAGATAAAATGAAGTCTATAAAAACACCATCTATACATACACCTACATGGGTATGTGTGTGCATAGTCTACCTTTGATATATAGAAAGTAACTCTCTCAATACATTTTGCTTCCTGGCCTGAGATAATTTTGGATGCTTGCAAACTTTCACTTAAATAAACTCAAAGTATAGGTTTTCCGTTCATGTGAGCAGCTTAATATCTCAGAAACCGAAAAAATAGCACTTAGGAGCCAGGACACAAGACATATTCAGGAAAAGGATCACAAGGGAAAACAAACCCTATCTAACACTTCTCATAATTTATTTCCCTTTGGCCTCCAAAGATCCTGTGGTGAATCCACCCAACTACAGCTTGCCTACACTTTTGTAGAAAAGCAAAGATTAGCTCTGCTTTTCACACTGGGGGAAAAAAAAAACAAACCCAAAACCAAAACATCTGAACTCTACTTAAAGCTGCCTTGAAGATGTATTAATCCCAAGTAAACCTTTGGTTATGCACCTGCTGAAAACCGGTCACTATGAGTTAATTGGATAAACCCATGCACTCAGCATGTCTTCCAGGGATGTGCAAACCTCCTGCAGTTCTGCTGAACTTGGACCCTATTTCAAATTACAAAGCAAAATGTAAAGGTCTGCTCTTATAAGGCATACTCTTTGCTTACCAGTAGATGACTGTGGATAGCCTAGACAAGTACTAGTACCTACACATTTAAAATAGCCATAAACAAAAATATGATCACATTATTCAAGCAGTTGAAGTCAGCTGTAAAAGACAAAGCAGGTGGGTTGGGTATTTTTGAATCTGTTTGCACAATTAATCTTTTTTATTCAACAGGTTTTCTTCTTTTTGCATTTTGATGTTGCATCAACTCTGCTGCCATTCAAGTTTTGAAGTTTTTCAGATCAGTTTCTTGACACTGGTAACATGCGTTCATTCCTTTCCTACCTTCACTTTTTCATGTGTATAGATATTACACTGGGTATAGTTTGTCCACGTCCTGTTGCTTTCTGGGTGTCTAAACCAATTCCCACTTGGATCACAGATCTTCGTAACTTTTTCTACAGTCAAAGCAGAGGGAAAGAAAAACAAAAAAGAAAAACAGAAGAAAAACACAACAGTCAGCACTGAAGTTCTTCTTCCTGATGTCTAGTATTTAATGAAGAAAGATTGGCAAACAAATGACAGCTTTATTAATATGACTAGAGAGACATTGCTTGTGACTATGAATTCTGAGAAACTAGAGGCCATTGGTTTTACTTGGCAAGGGCAACTGATGATGTGTTTTTCTTAAGAAAACAAACAGATTTCCCTCCTCCAATCCAGTAAGTATCAAAATATATCAAACTAACTGATGAAGTGACAAGAATATTTAAATGGCTTGTTTAACATCCAAGATCTAAACTGAAGTCTGACATCCTACCACTGTAAATTAGGATTGGACAGGCAGGAAAACATCAATAGAGAAACTGCTCAAGAACCAAACTGGAAAATTTCTGGGTCTACATAATGATTTCTATCGTCAAATAGAAAGAGGCAAGAAAGGACCTTGGGAAATACCAAATGCAGCAGAAGGACACAAGAGTGGAAGTTTATGACATTTTCCACATGCTCCCAGATGCACTTGAGGGAGAATCTCTTGTCACCTTCAGCTGCTAAACTGAGGTAAAAGAGTAAGTCATATTTCTGCTTGTCTATCAGAGAGAAAAGCTCATCTCTAAGAGGAAAAAACCCCATGATCTAATTTAAATTTCAATTTCCTAATCTACAGAATCCCTCAAGGACATATTTCAGAAAATAAAATAAGTAACATGTCAGTTTTCTATGTGATAAGGGGAAAATGCAAATGATGGGTTTGGAGTTACTGAAGTTCTGGAGCATCAGTGTCCTGAGTGGGGCAAAGAGGAAGCACCGAGCACCCAAAACCTCATTTTATTAAGAAGTATGTTGATGCAGAAGCCCTTGCACACTTACCTGATGGGTTGAAATCCTGAAAGTAGTCAGGACAACGCTGTACGGACACAGTTCCAGCAGCAACATCACTCCAGCACAACCAGCCATCCCACGTTCTGTTACAGTAAGGACCTGCAAACAAGTAGAGACCTGATAATAAAATAACAACCCCTCTTTCATAATAGTCTTCCAAAAGTAAGTTGTAACACTGCATAAGGTAAGTTTCTCACTTGCAGCAATGAAAAAAGAAAAGAAAATAGAAATACAAGACTTAACAGTAATTCATTAGAACTCCACTTAATAGAAATAGTTCCTTATATGTACATTTCTTTGAACACATTTTAAAATCCATCATCGTTCACCTTGAGACGGTCTACACCTACAGTTTACAAACCTCAGATCTAGAGCATGGTAGGGAAAAAACCCTAAGTCGATTCAGACCAAATATGCACATTAACAAAGAGCCTTAAGCTTGCAAAGATCATTTGACTGCGTTTATTTACATTTTGGATGTATACCAAGCCTATACATGTGTTTACTAGTTCGTTGAAAACACAGAGGTATTCTAGAAGCCATCAGAAAGCCTTGCTGGGAGGCAGCCACAGCTCCTTTGCCACAGGCAGAGCTGAGCCTGCAGTCGTCATCGTGGGCAGACACTTCTCTAAGTGTTCCAGGGACAGGGAATACAGAGTGTCCCTCAAGAGCCTGTTTCAATGCCTCATCGCGCTCAAACAAATTTTAAAATCTAAAATAAACCTCCCTTGAGAATGAACTGGTGTTTTAGAAACAAATCCTTTCCCAAAAGGCATGTAGAGGGTCAGTCATTCTGCAAGTTTGGAGATGTTTTTAGTGTCTTCCTTTAGTTTTCATTTTAAGACTTAATAATGCCCCCCTCATCTCAAAGGCTGCATTTTTCAAACATCACGTAATTCTTCCTCTTCTCATCTAAAGATTTTCCAATTTGTCGAAATCCTTCTGAAGCTGTGACGCCCCAGGCTGGATATAAGCTTACACTGTCGTACTCATATCCCTTTCTGACCTCCAGACATTCAGTTCCTCCAAAGAATCATTTCAGAAGAGAAAAAAACCTCATTGTAAAAGAATACAATTACCTTTTCTTGCCTCAAAAGACATTCAATGTTTCCTGAAGTTATAAAGTCAGAAGCAGTGAATACAGTGAATACAGTGACAGGTAGAGTCAGAAAAAGCATTAATGACACTAACACAACTCTCAGAGCAGGAAAATTACATGTATCAAGAATCTTTTGACTTTTAAAGGCAGATGTGACCAGGGAGAAAGAGGTATTAAAAGAGCATGAAATAAAATAAAGTAGTAAGATTAATCAGTCATCATTTTTTAATCTGGATATCTATTTAAATTAACATTTTCTTATCTCATCAGAACTAAAAGCTTTGTGTTATATAAGAAGCGGTGCTATGGGCAGGTAATATAACATATTACTTTATCTTCATGAATCGCAAAGTGACATTTCTAAAAAATTACATCTAAAAAACAACAAATACAGTTACAGCCTGAAAAATGATTGCCATCAAGACAGGAAATGAATATAACTAAAGGATCCCAAATTATTGTAATTATATCTGTTGACCATTTGCTTTTGTAAAACCTTATAAGAAAATAAACTCTACCTTCTTTCCTATGAATAGGATCTTGCATAATTTTCTGGTAGCATTCATACTGTGCTGTCATAATTTTATTCCGTGTAACACTCAGTTGAGTGAAGTCCTCTGTCATATTCTGATGCCCTTCAGATGGTATAGCAGTGGCAAAAAACTAAGAGGAAAAAGACTTTTTTTTAGCAAGTCATGTACAAACTCCAATATAAACTTCTTAAACCTCAATCTTTTAAAAGTATTATATTTTGAATATTATTTTACTGAAGGAAAATGATCTTCAAATCTTATAACTGACAATACGATTTTGTCTTTTTCTGATTAATTTAGCAATTCTCACTACTGAATCTTGATGAATATCTCCTGAATGAGCATGGGGGAGTAACAATCTGCAAGACTTGTAAATAATAATGGAAAAATGCATAGAAAGCACTGAGACAGTCAGAAGCATATAAACAGCTTTTGCAAAATCCAGTAAAATATATCAAAGTTACATTAGTCTAAAAGGCATTTGAATCAGGCCCAAAATGATCCTTTATGAAAAGAGATTTTCCATACACTGTACGCACTGAAGCTTTTGGCTTGTTTAGAGCTATTTGTTTTCTCTATAGTCTTGTGAACCATAAGTCAATCCTCAGAATACAAAAAGTTTTCAAAAAGACATGACATCCACTTTTATAGTTATTAAAAATAATAATTAAAAAACCCCTTAAGAAAGTGGATCTTGATCAACACCTGAACTTTTAAAGTGCATTTTTAAAAGAAGTTAAATATTAAATATGTGAAGCTACTAAACTTCATGGAAAAACAAAGCTACAGATTGAAATATGGTACCACTGTCATACAAGGGGTGAAATTAAAAGTTCCAAGGATGTCCTCTGAATCCGAGTGAGATGTCTCCTCCACTCTTCCTGGGGTCTGCATAGTACTGCTTATATGTCACTTGCCAACCGTTACTGTAAGGTTCCTGCTAGCACAGGATATGCTGGGTTCAACAGAGGTAAATACTATTTCTGTTCCTTTACCACAAGAAGTAAAAGGAGAACAGAAGGTAGCTAAAGATCCTGCTGTGCAGAAACTACATTTGAACACAAGATTAGTTGTTCCTGCATTTCCATATTAATAATTTCTATGGTATTCTGTACACACTTGTTAAAACTGGAAGTGATTTAAAGAACTCATAAGACTCACCATAGTAACCGATAAGAACAACAGCAAAAATGTGATCCAGTTTTTTGTCATTTTTATATCCGGTGCAGTGAATTTTATGTTGTAGTTGAATGAACTCAAACTGCAATGGAAAAAAAGTAGGAAGAAATTTAGTAGTTCATGAAAGCCAAAACTGATAAAAGAGTTCATGTTTTCTTTCTGAATTAAAACAAATCAATGGAGGTCCTCTCAACTCTTGCATAGTGACTCCTTGTGATATACATGGAGACGTACAATATGATGTGAAAAAAACCACACTCAATTCACCAGCAATGAATTCCAGCAGCAGGGTTTTTTCTGCACTGCTGCCCCTACTACCTCAACTAACACCAGTTCTCCAGAGGGCTTGTCTCAGGTAGCTGGTATCAACTCTAACACATATGTAGCAATTAACCCTGAGATATGAGTTGACTTCTTGACATCTCAGCCTTTGGGCAACCATAGCAAACTGCAGTTCAGTTTCCTCTAAAGTAGACTTAGACTTTCACAAACACACAGACACACACACACACACACAATTATTTTGTGTTCTCCTCATACCAGCTGATTTTTTATTTTGCCATTTCTGGAAGAACTGATCTAGTAAGTAGCCACTTTGTCTTGAAGTTACAACTTTGCAAGGATGACAATGACAATACAAGAATTATTTGTGAGCTGTAAACTAGTTTCTGTATCTGCAGTAGCTGTAAACTAGTTACTGTATCCATAGTTCGAAGAAAACAGAACTGCCCAGAATAGCTCTAATCGTCTTACAGTGCATACTATTCTTGGAATTGATTCTTGAAGTGCAAAATACACCTAAAACATACAATATACAAAATTATTTATAAAGCACCCAGACCAGCTATTAAGCATAACCCTGTTGTGACAACTCCCTCAAAAGGAAGGGAAATGCATAAGGGATTTCTCATGCAACAGTTCACTGTGTCCTGAAGTAGAATCATTGAATGCCATGAGTACCATGAGAAGATCACAAACCTGAGCCTGGAATTGGGATAAGGGCTTCTCTTCTGCTTGCGCTGTAGCAAAAGACGTCTCCACATTTAGATTAAGTTATTACAACTAAACCACCTTTCAAAATCTAAGTATCTCGATGTACTAGCATTAATAAGGATATTATCAGCCAAAATAAAGGGCACCACATCTGAGTGAGTTTAGCTCCCTTGTACAGATTAATTCACTACAAATAATACACTGCTACTTAAGATATAAAACACACATACCCCAAAGGTCCCTCATATCCCTATCTTAAATATCCCACTGCTACCGAATCAAGAGGGCTGTTGCGAGCCGAGTACCTACAGGCAAACCTGCCTCCTGACCCAAAGCACATTCTCCCTTGGATCACACTTGCTCTCATCTTTGTTTTTCTTATCCAGCAGTCACATCCTACGAGAGACGGGTGGATGACAAACAACCGATAGTACATTGGCCAGCAGCGGTAATTTTACAAAAAACCCATCCTTTAAAAAAACCACCTTAGTCACAAAAAGCAAGCATTTTCTATCTACTTCTTTTCTGCTTTTACACTGAGACAGGGTCCTCTTAACACAATTATAATACAATAAACAGCATTTCATAGGATATACTAACTACAAAATATGAGATCACTGGTGTTCATTGTACAGCTTAATGCAAATACAAGAAATGTGTTGTAAAATCAGTTACTGTTGTGCCTGTTTAACCCAGACTAAAACTGTATCAGTAATCTTCCCTCTATTTTTACCACTGGCATGCAATCCGCTAACACTGATTGCTGAAAATTGCACAGGTAATTCAGTGAGACACTGAAATTCAAATACACTGTTTTGAAGGCTCTTAAAACACTAACAGGAAGACCAATTAGCATATGTGAAATATATTCTCAGTTTGAGCTAATACTGCTCTGGAAAATCCACATGTGATGAGAACTACAGTGAATAGGTGATTGTAAAAACCACTATCTGTTAACTAAAGAAAAATCTAAATATTTATGTGTAGTGATAAAAGATTGACTGAAAACCCAGTACAAATGGAGATACCTAAATTAGCAAAGGCAATATGATTTCAATTCTGCATGACAATTGCAGGCAAGGGAGGTTAATTCAAACCTATCACAAGTTTCATTCACATATAGTTGTGTCTGTTTACCTAGGAAGGGAAAAAACCCACTGGCCTTCCAAGGAAATTGGAATTAACTACTTGGTTGTAAAGTACTTGAATGATCTCTCTCCAAAATATGCCAAAACACATCTGTACAGGGTTAAAACCCATAAATGATGCGCACAACACAAGCAAAGAGACCAATCAAGTAGAACATAGCAACCATAGTTGTTTAGTGTATGTATACAATCTTCTATATATGTATGCAAGAGTTCAAAATAATTTGCTCTATAACAGTTCCAAAAATCCTTATGCTAAAACAAATGTTGGATGGCAAATGTAAAATGCATACTCAAATATTGCCCTCACTTAGCCTCACTTAGTTTTATTTATCTAAAACATACTGTATCATATAAACAAAGGCAGAATTTATCTGCTTTGATTCACACCCCATGATTGCTTCTGTTTCACAATATCAAATGTCACCCCTTAGCTAAGTTCCTTTAATGGTCCAAGTCTTTTCATATCTAGTGGTTTTGTAGACATTTCCTATCAACTATTCCAGTATCCACTGCTGAATTATTAGTTCTTCCCAGGAGATAAAAGATTATGTCAAGTCTATAATTTGCTCTATGCTTTCCACTCATTTCTCACAGTTGCTAAGTGCAAAAAACTTATATAGCAAGAAAAAAGTCCTTTTTCTAAACAGCACTACTTTTGGACTTAATTACAAAATGCAGAATGAAGGTCATTCAGATGACTATTTGGACTTCAGGAAAGCATTTCTTGCATCACTACTTGAATTCATTCACTCAATATTTATTCCGGTTAGTTTGGCCACAAACTTTCACAGGAAGATTAAAAACTTTCTTAAGAATGGACAGCAATGTAGTCCACTGATTAAGGTAGCAAGCCAGTACTGCTGAGAAAGTCAGGTTGCTTTATTAATCCTCTGTTCTGATGAGCTGCAAAACAAATATAATTCTCAGAAAGCGCTCTCCCTCTCAGAGCTGGGAGGTACTAGATGCACAAGGAAAAGAAATTAATGAGAGACCCATTCTTAGGTTTCTTTAAGTAATAATGCTTCCCAAGTTGTTGTTCTGCTATTAAACATCTTTGACAATTCTACTGTGGGGAAAAGAGGAAAAGTGTATTGGATTGAGATTAATTTGAATGTATTGAATGTTAGCTTGAGGAAAAAAAATGGTGGAAGCTTAGACAGAGTCCCCTGAGTCCACTCTGACAGTGGGGATCTGAACAAAAGCCAGCAGGATTGTGATTTACATGAAACTAAGTCAGTGGACACAGCACTACAGCTACTAGCAGTCCTCTGGCTTAAGTATTATCCCAGTAAAAGAGAATGTCAGTGGGAAGAGAATGGGGAATTGGATTAGCAAATCAGATCTTCAAAATCTCATTTTTATTGTTAGTGCCTGTGGTACTGAAGACTGGGATAACTTTAAAAAAAAAAAAAAAAGAGTAACTGCCTGTTTTTCCTCTTTATTACATTTTCTGTTACTCAAATTAATGATACTCCAAATGTCTATATCATGTTTGTCACTGACAGCAGTGACATCTACTGAAGAAGAAGGAATTCAAGAGGAACTGCAAGCTGAACTTAGCCAAAATAGTCACTGGTATAGCTTTAACAGATGTTCACATTTCTCTTCCTCCTGCTTTCTCTACAGAACCATCCTGCCTCATCAGCTGTTTCTACTTTTAACTTTTTCCCATCCTCCCAAGAATAAATGTCATCCTTGCTGAGCTCCAGACACTTCCCATTTCAATGATACAGCAAAAGGGTTAAAAAAAGTAGTCAGCAAGAAAAGTATTTTTTTTTAACTTCAATCACCTGACCACATTTAATACAAAAGAAAACACACAGGCAGCTTCTGCCTTAAGCAGTTGCCCTTAGGTCTATCTTTAAGTCAGAATGCGACTGTGTAGGGGTGGGATAGGAGGGAGAGTCTACTTATGTCATTGCATATACATTCACACACATGCAAAAACATTTTTCACTAATTAATAATCTTTGATTTGTCCAGGAAAAGAAAAAAAAAGATGAAAACACCCCAAACCAAACAACAAACCCCAAAACATTTTCAATATAAATTACTTATCTTGCTGTGTGCTATAATCTTGCAACACTGAAGTTGAACATGTGCAAATATAGATGTATAGCCTTCCTCTCTGACTAAAAATGGGGGTCAGGATGGCTATTTTCTTGACACACCCCCCCACCCCTTGCTGTTGTTCTAGCAATCCCTGGTTTTGTTTTTGCAATATCTCACAGAAATAGCTGTACATGCTATTTTGTTATTTCTGGTTCTTTTTAGAGTGAGGCATACAACCCAAAATATTCAAAACCCCAGGCAATGTGTGGTTGTTTCAGCCCAAGATACAGGCAAAAACAAGTTGGAAAATGCCCAACCCTTTTCAAGCATCCCTAATTTGAAATGCTGTGGTACACTGTTAGGAAAAAAAAGCAGTAGTCTCAAACGGAATTACAGATGTAGTCTTCACCTACATCTCTACTCATATAAACTTTCTGGGAAATACTCTGCCCGCAGAGGGGCAGATTCTCTTCTATCTAAAAGGGTTTTGCAAGTGGGCAGTACCAGCCAAACATTAATACACACCAGATTAATTTAGTCCTGAAAACGGACTTCAAAATCTCCACACTTAGAGAGCAATGCAGGGCGATTTGGAAATCTTCCTAATCAGGTAAAATGCCCTCATTTCTGAGGGAACCAATTCTACTAGGATTTGGACCAAACTGCTCTGATGGTATCATGTGACAGCTCACAGCTGTATGTGTAGGAATTACTCCATCCTCCTAATAATTACGGAGTTAAGGCTCAAAAATAATAGTTATGGAACAAACCTAATGAACTCTGGGCAGCACAGTTTCGTGACACTAGAATTCCCTACTCACTGCCACTCTGAATTAAGACCCAGGCATCAGCAGTTACAGACTCCTAAAACAAGTGAGACAGGAGA